CCTCTGCTTAGATCCAAAAAGACTTAGTCGATCATTGTTTTTATCGAACTTGAAAATAAAAAAAGCATGGTTTGGCCGATTTAAGTTCAAAAAGTCACGTGATGTGGATATATAACATAATGCACAAAGCAACATTAGATCAAAAAACCAAACTAGAAAATAGAACGTATTTGATTCCCTGAAACGTGTTTAAGATAGCAAGCCATTTTCCTCCTTTGCCCTCAACTAGACGAAAGACAAATTGTTTAAGAGGTACTGAACTTTGTTTCCTAATTGTATTTGTATTTAGTGATAAGGAGGTCAAAGAGAATTTGGCGCACTATTTATCTGAGGCCCGAGGATTGAGACCAGAAATGGAGCATCTGTTACAAGTTTGTCAACTATTTGTGCACTGTTGGGAGGTGAGCTTTGGTATTATTAGCAAAATGAAATACCCACTGTCATTAGAACTAGAAATAGGCCATTTCCGAGTTTACCTTGTGCCTCTCTTTCAAAGCGAGTCCTCGAGCAAAATGTTTCAAGTCGAATTGAGTTCGATTTGCGTAAAAATGAGGGTGATGTAGCAGCTCTCGTAAGGTCTCACATGAATGGCTTGCTACTCTTTGAGAGAACAATAGAACAAACAACAGAAACAATGCCCCTAGCCCTAAAACAGCTGCTAACAATGAAGAGAATTACAAGCTTACGAAAGCTGCTACACTTCTGGAAAATGAACCTGTAGGCGGAACGCATTTTCAAAATCAGAAAAATCAGCATTTTGGGGGGAAGGGGGGAAATTTGTCCAAGACCCTCCAAAATCGAATTTTACTGCCAAGTGTCTCAACACTTTTGTCGTCCATTGTAGTTCCAGAACTAATCGAGGCGGGGGCGGGGTTTCCAATTTTTCATAACTCTATACCTTGCCAGTTTTTCATGGTTATGGCAAAGTCCCTTCTCCTAATCCTTACCGGGGTTTGCATCATACATATCTGAATTCTAAATTAGTTCCAAGAAAATCAAGTCAACCGGCTGCATTTGGCCACGCAACATTTTTTGAAAAGAGTTTCCTGGGGCAGCAAACACAGCAAGAAAATTATCGCTAGAAATTACTGTCATTCCACAGTTTTGTAATTGAACATTTTAAGAGTGTTTTTTACCTTTGTTGCAGGACTCTCTTATCAGCTTGTATTCAAAGACCTCAGGAAATTTGCTGGTGATGATAAAACTAGCTCAGCAACTTTGTGGTGAATGTACTCCATTATTGGCCTCAGGCTCACTGCAGCAACACACTCGAGAGCTTGATGTAGTTGTGCTGGAAGGCGTGGCAAAGGCACGTTATGCTCTAGCATTAGTTGCTGATTTTATGTATAAGACTGCAGTCGAGGACAGAGACAAAGCTCCTTGGAATGATCTGCAAATTAGAAACGAGTTGGAAACCCTTTTTGAAGGCGTGAGACGAATGTGCTGCCAGGGTTCGAGCCCAGTTCCTCGATTGTACCTGCTCAAACAGTTGGTGAGAAAGTATGGTGTGGAGGCCATCCATGTTTTGTGTGGAATAAAGGCGTTTGAGTGGATTGTACCTCCTGAGAACAGAGACAAACAGGTAAAGTGTTGTATATCCTTCCATATCTTAGATGTTTCTCTATAACTTTGTTATGCAGAATTCATTTTATTCGTAAAGATGAATCGAAAGATTTTACAGGGTCTTTGTGTGGGAATATCGAAGATAAATCAGTTGCATGAATGTGACTCTTGACATATGTGGTTACCAACACACCCTTGGTTCAAGGTGGTTACAGTAACTATATGAAGTTTTCTAAAGCATAGTTATTTTCTTTTTAAACACCTGCGTGTTAAGAGCCTTTAGCGTCTTTTTCTCTTCATTTCTTCCTTTAGCAGCTAATATTAATGTTTCTTTTCCAGCAAGAGGATCTTGTTCCTGATAGGTTCGTTATTTATGGAGAAGATTACAAAAAGGTCAGAGAAGCCATGGCTAAAACAGTCCTTAGTGCTACGCATCGGGAGTTAACTGAAGTGCTCCAGGTATGAAAGCAAGAAACAGCGTATGCCTGTAACGAGAGAGCAAAAATAGTCCAGTTTCGAAAAATGACTTAAAACTCATCTGTACAGTG